GGTGGGATTAGAGCTCCTGGCTGAAGCAGGAAACTACTCGGCTTTACAGAGAATGTTCCCGTCGCCATATTTCTACCACCCCAGCCTGCTGGGCACCGTGGACAGCTCCACGGCGGCCGCGGCGGCAGCGGCCATGTACAGCAGCATGTACCGGACTCCTACCGCGCCGCATCCCGGCCTCCAGAGACCTCTGGTCCCCAGGGTGCTCATTCATGGCCTAGGGCCGGGGGGGCAACCGGCACTAAACCCCCTGTCTAACCCCATGGTCGGAGGACTGCACCCGCGGTAAAACTCGAAAGAAGCCGAGAAAAGACGATGAGCAGAACGCTGGTTGAACACGTGATGTGAGTAACTGCTGCGGAACCACATTGCAGGACTTGTTGTTCTCCAGAAAGACACATTTAAAGACATTTACAGAAGTAAAGGAGGTATTTAATATAGGCCCAGATATTCTGAGCGCAGTCCCGTAAAGACTCTGTTCGGGCCGGGACGAACTGGACTGCTCCTGTCTGATTGTTTGTTTGTTTGTCTTTTGTACAAATACACTTACATTAGCAAATAAACATATACAGTTTATTAGATGGAGAAGAACGGAATGAATAAAGAAGTAAACATACTAATTGAATTTGCAGACGCTTCTATTCAAACTTCGGTTTAAATGTCATCATTTCTTCGCAGACTTTCATACAAGAATAATATTTATTATTATCAATTTCATATTCGTGATTATAACCTGCTATTGGATTTATCGAAATCCTTTTTTTGCACTTTTTGAAATATCAATTCAATATTTGACAGCTTTCATGTGGCTGTACTTTTATACAAATATTATAATGTAAACAATACTCTATGTAGCCTATCTATAGATATAATAATTGTAATAATAATAGTCACATCATTTTAGCTCACCCTTAAAAGGCTGAAATTTGTATGACATAAGTGGATCAACGTAAATAATTTGTTATAGCAGCATATGGTGTTCACATTGGAAGATATTTAATTCAGTTTCAGGGTAAAGTGATCAGCGACATGTAGGTCATCCTCCACGCCTCCATATTTATGTTTACCAGCACATATACATATATGGATGCGCAGCAGCTGATTGGTGGCGGGTTATAGTGGGAATGTGGCCTTGGTTTAGCAGCTGTTCCCTGGGAGCACAGCAGACAATAAGCCTGCATTTCTCAGCGTGAGCGATCAGGGGAAGAGGCCTGCAAGAAAAAGAAAAAGCCTGCTGATAATCTGCTCATTCTCAATAACCAATAAAGCGTTAGGGAACTTTCAGGAAGATCTGAGAGGGAATAATCTCCAGTGACCTCATTGCACATTATGGTGTTTTTAACATCACAATATCTTTACATCACTCCTACATCATTTGCATTTTTTTGTTTGCATCGTCCTGCTTTGGCATATTGGTGAACTTTAAAATCTTTATTTCTAAAATGATATTTTGTACGTTTTTTCATAAATAGCCTATACGAACTGCATTAATGTTATTTTCTTATGTGTCTTTTGTTTTGCGGCATGATACTGGTTCAGGATTTAAAAAAAATCCACACAAATAGAGCGAGGGTCCTGAATTAAATCAAATCAAAATATGTTTTATTTTATTTATCCTGTTATAAACGTGCACCCCGGAGAATATGTCGGGGAGGCGCTTCGTGTGAATTAGCGCCTCGGGGCCCGTTTGTTTGGGTTTCTTTTCTTTGAAAGCATCGCTTATTACACCGAGGCAAATTGACCTTTGCTGTCCTATAAAATGAGGAAAACATGCAAACCAGCATTTTTATATAGTTCTTCTAGATATAGCATTTTGAAGAATTTACGAGCGCTTATTTTTGTTTCATTCCGGCCATGTCAGAGAAAACACTGCTGCATTTGAATGCACCTTTCTGGGATTATAACAGAGCAGTCAGATCCATGACAGTGAGTAAACACAGGCTTTAGTTCAGCTGTGTCTAAATACTCTGAACACATGTTAATGTTGCCTGTTTAAATCGCAGCCTGTCCTTCAGTGCGGCTCTCAGTCAGTCAGAGCTGCGTTCACTTTCTGCAGCGTGTACTGTTTTACATGCATGGACAGCGCCTCGAAGATGTGTTTTCCTCGTTTAACCAAAATCGCCAGGACCAGAATTATTCGACTGTTCACGACGCAATTACAGCGCGCACAAGCCAGAGTAACACACAATAACCATTCTCATGAATGTGTGGATAACAAAGCTGCAGCAGAAGATGCATCTCTCTTCTCGGCCTTACAAACAGCTCTGGCCTATACATCCAATGTTGAAAAATATTAGCCTTCCATATTGACCCTACAGCTTTTGCCCATTACTGCAGTATAGTGCCAACGCATGTTGTTCATATGCATGACTTCTGCACCATTATTTATTTATTGCACTCTGCGGGGGGGGGGCTGTTCATTCATTAATAATAGCCTTGGCCGTACAACAGCACTGAATTAATAGGCTGCTGCCATCTCAGGATACCTGCTCATTTTGGGCGTTGCTTAAATCAGATGTTTGTGTTTTTTTATATTTGTGTATTATTGCTCAAAACGCAGCAGCTGTCAATCAGATTAAACCGGGTCACTGTGAGTTAAACTGGCAGCACGAGGCATGTTCTGCATTTCAGATGGACTAGGTCAATGTCACGTTAAATGCAACATTGTTCTTAAAATAAGGTTTTGCTAAATAAGGTCAAAAAGAAAATGCAAAAATTGTATTTGACGGGTAAAATCGAAACACAACATGTGAAACATTACATTTTTTTATGAATTTCATCCTTTTCATTTGATGTTATTTTTTGGAGTTCCATGTGAATTCGAAGCCAAATTGCGTTTTTGGGCAAGATGAGCAATAATTGAGAAAACACAATCACTAGTGTAAAAAAGGGCAGCAGACTTGCATAAAGAGGATTAGGCCTTTCTTTAACATGGCTCATATTATCCAGAACAGATGGGCTTCAGAGAGTCGTTTTCTTCTTCTTCTTGCCTCAAGGAACCTTCCTGAGCACTTTAATTGCCAGTTTTTTCTCCAACTGATGTAATGGTGGGATATATTTTTCATTACAATAATGAGGTAACACTTGCTCTCCTTGGCCTCTCATTATCACATCTCCTACATCACTCACTAAACACAAATGTAACCCCACCCCCTTCCTAAAATCCCCACGCTCTAACTTCTACTATACATCCTTAGCCGTATAATCAACAGCTGCTGTCCCCCCCTGCCTGACTGTGTTGATGAGAGCTCTTCATTAGAGGCCTGCAGGACAATTTGAAGCTCTGCACAATAATACTCTGACCAGCAGGCACATTTTAAAGAGAAACTTCTATTGGAAAAATGCATCAGATGGACACTTTGCCATCAAAACACATGCACTGATCACAGTCCAGAGCACATTAAAGCCAACCTAGAAACTTAGAGTAAGATGGTCAGCCTGATGTTTTCTCTGAGGGCTCTTACACCATTTCTTCAATCATCAGCACATTTTTTAAAAGAGTTTCTATTTTTTTTATTTCAAACCCTAACCACTAAGCTTGTTGCTGAAAGGTGATTCAAAGAGATGCTGCACATATTTAACAATAAAATAGTTGTTATCATTCACCACATTTTGACTTGATTAAATATAAGGTTAAAAATACTTTTATTAAAAGGAAGAAAAAACATAAAGATTAACATTAATTACTTGTAACATTAATGCCTAAATATTTACAGATATGATGATATGAGCCTTCATCCAAGGAGGCATTATGGGTCGAAGCATATTCTTAAGCCTTAAGGCGAGACACCCCAGGTGAATAGGGTAATTTTTTTAACTTAAAGGTATCAGCTAGAAATTTCTCCAGTTAATTACTTACAATAAGGCAATTGTCTTTTGTATTACAAGTTTTCTGAAATAGCATGTTTAAATATGCAAATTAGCCATTATCTCATCAAATATGTGCATATTTTAACACATTTCAGGAATCGAAATCTGAACTTTGGATAAAGCCAGGTTCAAAATTCTTGTTTTATTTTGTAGTCATATTAGTATCTAAGGCTTTTACAGAAGGGATTTTGGATATCTCTTTTTATCACTCCATAAATCAGAAAATACTGTCAACAGCCCTAAAATATAAATTTTTGCCATGTTTTTAGGTATACAATGTTGTATAATTCAGGCTATGAATGATATATGAACAAACCCTTCTGTAAAAGCCTTCATAATATTGATAGGAATATAACTGGAAGGTTTGGTGTGTCTACGTGCTACTGAAGTTGAAATTTTGAACTCAGAGTAGGAGAAAAAACTCATTTTGAGAAAACGACCTTTAAAGATTGCAGTGAGGCGCTAGCTAAACCCTCCTGTTCTTTTTTTTTTCAAATGCGTGGTGGTGCGTGGAGGACGGCTTGCGGTCTAGATATTGTGTTTGTATCTGGTGTTGTTTGGTGTTTTGGCGCTTGGTGACGGATGGAAGTCCGGCATTTGGTCTGTCCGCTGCTTTCGTCTGATGT